TACACATTTACATACATATATATATATATGTATGTATGCATGTATGTATGTATGTATGCATGCATGCATGCATGTATGCATGCATGCATGCATGCATGCATGCATGCATGCATGCATGCATGTATGTATGTATGTATGTATGTATGTATGTATGTAGGTATGTATGTATGTATGTATGTATGTGTGTATGTATGTGTATGTATGTATGTATGTATGTATGTACGTACGTACGTACGTACGTATGTATGCATGTATGTATGTATGTATGTATGTATGTATGTATATATATATATATATTCAGGAGCCAGGAGCCATATTCAAGACATAGTGACGATGGGGCCGGGTCCGCCATAATATTGAGGAGTCATACTCATGAGCCAGATCTTAGTGACGACAAGGTCGGGTACACCATAGTACCGATCATGAGGACCCATATTGAGCCATATTTAAACCATAGTGACGATGGGGTCGGGTACTCAATAGTATTGCGGAGCCAGATTCAGGAGCCAGATCTTAGTGACGACGGGGTCGGGTACATCATAGTATTGATCACGAGGTGCCCTATTGAGCCAGATTCAAGCTATAGTGACGATGGGGTCGGGTACGCCATAGTATTGAGGAGCCAGGTTCAGGAGACTCATTCAGGCACAGATGGGTACGCCATAGTGGGTACTTCCTCCGCCCCCCGATCTCCATCCTCCGCCTTCTCCCCTCCTTTCATCCTCATCCTCCCTCTCTCCTCGCTCGTTCTCTCCCCAGGAGTTGGCTCATAGGGATCGTTGGTGCGACCCCCCACCTTCATGCGGGACGCGTGGGCCCCCATTTGCTTCTCCATCTCGGTGCTCAGCTTGAAGGCTCCCAGCTCGAACGCCAAGCGTTCGGCATTGTCCCTCTGCTTGCTCATGTCCTTCATCATCTCGAGGCACTTCTGCAAGGGCGTCACCGACGCCACAACGTTGGCCGTGGACTGCTCCACGCCTGTCGGGGGCGGCTGCTTCTTGCCGGGCACCGCGCTGCTGAGGTCGAACGCGTCGACGCTGCTGGCGTCCCCGACGAGGACCTGCATGTCGGCGTTCAGGACCCCGCCCTCACCGATGAGCGCCTGCAGCCCGTGCTTGTCCGTCTCGGTCGCGTGGGAGACACTCAAGGAATCTATCTGCTTGGTCGTCTTCGTATTCTTGAGGGCAGTGCGGACATAGTAGTAGTTCTCGTCGTCTTTCTCTGGAAACTCGCCATCTCTCAAGTATTGTTTCTCCTTCAACTTTTTCTCGATGAGCTTCTTCACGCCGTCCTCCGCGTAGATCCCGAGCGCCGCGATCTGCCGAGCCTTGAGCCAGGAGTACTCAGATTCGCCCTTCTGCTCATTCTCGAGGCGCCTCTGGATGACCACACTTACGCGCTGCATGTCTTGATCCTGCTCGAGCCAAAGGTTGAAGAGATCGGTATTCTTCTTCTTGGTGGACAACTCGGTCTTCAGGCCCACGGGGAAGATCTCTTTGTTCGCGACCTGCCTGCCGAACTTCGCATGCAGATCTGGGTCCGTCACCGAGTTGCGGTAGGTACCTGGGGCTCCGCTTACAGGGCAAGCGGCGGGCAGTGGTTGTGGTGCTGGATGTTGCTGAATCTGCTGGGGTGGCTGCTGCTGCTGCTGTGGTGGCTGCTGCTGCTGAATCTGCTGGGGTGGCTGCTGCTGCTGAATCTGCTGGGGTGGCTGATGTTGCTGAGTCTGCTGCTGGCCAGGGGCGTCTCGCTGAAGCAAGCGAGGCATCTTCGGCGGCGACGGCTGGGATGACGCCGTTGCTGCTGCCTGCGCTGCTGCGAGAATGGCATCCGCTGCGGCCGCTGCGCACCCCGAGGGATCGAGCACTCCGGGCGCAGTGGCTTCCGTCGAGCCGCCCCCCGCCTCCATGCACGAGAAGCTCGTTTGCAGCGCAACCATCTCCTCATCTGTGGCCAGCATATTTGCGACGCCAGCTGCCGAGCCAGCGTCGTCAGGGGGCGCGCCAGCTTCCTCTGGGCAGAAAGCCGAGTCGATGGCATCGAGGTCGGGGAACTCAGGCGCCGCGCCCATGTCGCTGCGCATGCTCTCCTGGGACCCCTCCATGACGACGGGCAACGGCACGGCCGCAGCAAGCTGCTTGGCCCGTGGCTGGCGGCCCAACTCGCTGAAGGACAGTGTCGCACATGGCACAGGCGATCCAGGCAGCGGCGCACCCGCGAACGTAGTCGGGGTCGCGGGCACAGCCTTCGGCACAGCCGTCGGCTGTGGCTCGCTCGCGGGCGCGGCCGCGGCGGGCCGTTGCGGGGGCGTAGCCGGGGTTGCGGACGCAGCGCAGGGGCTCGGCGCCGCGCTCGACGCCATCTCGCCCCCCTCCACCACCCAAAGGACCAACGTGTCCAGCTCGTGCTTCATGTCATCCTCGTCCTCGAACTCGGCACCCTCGGCGAGCTTGGCGATCAGAGCGGGCAGGGACGCGCAGCCGCACGCCGACGCGATCTTCTCCAGGGGCAGGCCGATCTCGGAACAGATCTCTGTCAGGTTCTTCTCCAGCATCTCCGCCACGTTTGGGGTAGCCGTTCCCCCGCAAGGCGTGGCAGCACCGTCGTCGTCGGGCTCGCACTTGACCCAGTAGTGCCGCGCGTCATTGATGCCATCGTTGCACTGCTTCAGCCTGGTCTTCATCTTCACAAGCTGCGACACGTACTCGGAGGGGAACCGCTGGTGCAAGTACGCCTCGGACCTCCAGTCGTAGTAATCAGGTGTCTCCACCTGAGTGGCACCGCTGGCAGGTGCCGCCGGGAGGACTGGCGCCACCTGCTCATGTGCGGCCGACGTCGCAGGCTGGCCTGGGGACGAGCGTACCCCAGGCATGCGAATGGCCGCCGCCAGCGCGTCGGTCTTCCCCCCCAGGCGGACCAGGCTCGGCTTGGAAGCGGGGGCTGACTTCGAGGCCATCGGCTTCGCCTGCTTAGGGCGGCTCAGCTCCATCCGAGGCGTACTCCTCTCACGTGCTGGCGGCGGGGTGCGGATCACCTCGCCCTTCGTCGCCACCGCGCCGGACAGATCAGGAGGGGCAACTTGAGACATGGCCTCCAGAGGTGCGGTGTGGGCCACAGCGTCAGCAGCTTGGGGCGACGACCTTAAAGCACTAATGGCTACGGAACAGAGGCTGCTGTGTTCAAGCGTAGCCCGAATTTGTTTCTTGCAAGGTAAACCCAAGGACGCAACCCATGGCGCAACGGATAGGCGACGGTTGTATCACCGTTCCCCGCGAGGGTGCAACATATGGCACAACAGATAGGAGACGCGTTTATCCTCGGCCGCCGAGGGCGCAACATATGGCACAAGGAGACGGTCTTACTCGCGCCCGCCATGGGCGCAATTTATGGCACAACCGATAGCAGACGGTTTCATTATCAGCCGATGAGGGATCCCCACCAGCCCATCCAGACACGATGCCCATGCGAGTTGAGAGGTGATCAGGGGCGAAGTGCTGGAGCAAAGAGGGGGGCGGCCGAGCCGTGTGAAGGAGAGAGGGGGCGAAGGAGAAAATTGGATGGATGGATGAGGGAGCAGGGACAAGGAGGATGAATACAATGAGGAGGAGGAGGAGGAGGAGGAGGAGGAGGAGGAGGAGGAGGAGGCGGAGGGGGAGGAGGATGATGAGAAGGGAGGAGGAGGGGGAGGAGGAGGAGGAGGAGGAGGAGGAGGAGGAGGGGGAGGAGGAGGAGAGCAAGCAAAAGGGTCAGAGGTCCCTTGGATGCTTCTCGGAGCCTCTTGGGGTACCTCTTGGGCGTCTTGGGACATCTTGGGGGTCTCTTGGCGGTCGTGGGGGGATCGTCGGCGTCTTGGGTGCCTCGGGGGGGGGGGGCGTCTTGGGCCCGCTCGGGATCCTTTTGGGGGTCTCCTGGGGGCATATTGGGGGCATCTTGGGGCCGTCTTGGGGCCATCCTGGGACCTCTTGGGGCCTCATGGGCGCTTCGTGGGGCCATATTGGAGGAGATCGATCAAACATTCACTAAACCACCGACGCCCAGAAGGCTGGTGGGACTATCAGCTGCCGAGGCCGCAACCGATAGGAGACGGTTTTATTACCAGCCGCCGATGGGCACAACCTATAGTGCAACCGATAGGAAACCGAGTTGGGACAGGAGGAGGACGAGGATGGCTAGGAGGACGAGGAGGAGGACGAGGAGGGGGACGAGGAGGAGGAGGAGGACGACGATCAGGATGGGGGGGGAGGACGGGGAGGAATACGAATTGCATGAGCACGAAATCTGGGCATTCGCATGCACACGGGGCCGCGTCTGATTTTCTGTGAGACAGAATTATACAAGGTTCCTCACTGAGGCTTCGTGGCAACTCTAGGGGTCCCCAGCCCAAAGAAGATGAACTATTCGCTCCAAGTATAGTATGGTTTGGGCGGGCGGCGGGGATCAGGCAGCGAGCTGGCGTGTGTGTTGTGGGGAGGGCTGGGGTAGGGCTGACGGGGCAGGGGGAACAATGGCGGGGGGTGGAAGAAAACCATCTTACGGCATTTCACGCCACTTTACGGCTGTCTCACGGCCATTTTACGGCTGCGGATTTTTGTCACGGGGAGGGTTGGCGGGGGAAGGGGAGGGATGGGGAACCATTTTACGGCATTACACGCCACTTTACGGCTGTCTCACGGCCATTCTACGGGCGTGGATTTGCTTGGGGGAGGGTTGGGGGGGGGGAGGGCTGACACGTCAGTGGTATTATTTTTGTCTTATAATGGCGGAGAGGTTGTGTGCAGGGCGCGGCTCACGCAGCAGCGCGCAGCACGGGCATCGGGTGACGCAAGCGACGCGTGCGCATGTTCACCGAGCTTCTCTTGGCCCCATGCTCAGCGCACATGCATCCACGGCCAGGCCAGGAGAATGTGCGCGCCGAGCATGGGCCCAGGAGCGGCGTGGGTGGGCGCATGCACATCGTTGGTGTCCATGGAGGCGCAGGTGGCAATAGGGGATACCACCTCCTACAGATCTAAGTACCCGAACACGGGCTTCAGGTCAGCATCCGCCCAGCGGCGCTTGCCCGTGAGCGTATTCGAGGCGATGTCACGCGCGAGGCGCACCTTCACAGAGCTCGATTTCTGGATCAGCGCCTGCCCTGCTGTCTTGAGCTCGGCCTCGGGGCCGACGTCAGACCGATCCGACTCCGATCGACGCCACCATATCTTCGATCCTTCCTCCATTCCTCCGTGTGCTCCTCCTTCCATTCCTCCATGTGCTCCCCAGTCATCATGACCCCTCATCTTCGCTCCTCGCTCCGCCCGCCGCAAGGCTCCGACGCCGACTGTTGCCGCGGGGATGTCCCCCGAGGCGCGGCCGTCCGCCGCAGCGGGGGGGTGGTGGAGATCAAGAAGAGGAGGAGGAGGAGGAGGAGGAGGATGAGGAGGAGGAGGTCGAGGAGGAGGAGGTCGAGGAGGAGGAGGAGGAGGAGGAGGAGGAGGAGGGGGAGGAGGAGAAGGAGGAGAAGAGACCGGGAGACACCAAGTTGAACGCATCAATAGCGTTCCCCACTCATTTCACAGCCCAGACCGCCCGATGCGCCATGTAGAGATCGGCAACGGCCTTGCCGAAGGCCTTCGGGTGCGCCTGGCTGCCCTTCAGGCGGTGGTTCCCGTTGATTTGGACGGTGCCATCGGAGGTCTGGACCATGTCGACCAACATGTTCTGGCCTGGCTGGTATGACTTCGCACCTTGGTAGTTGGGCAGCTCCTGGATGAACTCGCGTGCTGAGTATAGCCACGACGGCTTCGCCGTCGGTGCCCCGAACCGCCCCATTTCAACACACACCCTGTACAACTTGTGGCTCTTGATGAATTCCTGGAACCTGGGGTGCCATTCCATGAGCGAGCCCCTCGGTTGTTCGAGTATGAAGAAGATCCGCCACGAACCTTGGTTCGTACGATTGGCATATCGATGTGTGCTTGGGCGGCGCATGCATGCCCACATCGCGGCGCTATATTGGTTTCGCACCGCGCGGGGCCCACCGAGGCCTTGGGGGCAGCATTTCGGGGCCCATCTTGGGGCCCAGGGGATATATGAACAATTGGCCCAGGGCCCGTCGGGGACCATTCGAGATTTTTCTATTGGGGAGCGGCGGAATGTACGGAACGTAGTACCATTCCTTTGCTGACCAGGATCCAGCATAGTATCATCACCCGGGAGATCATCGTGTTGGCGTTGGCAACGTTCTCAATGGTTGGGTCTCCGAGAGGTTGCCATGGTCGTCGTTTGGTCGTCCCCCGCGATATCCACACCCACGCGCTGCACACTGGCGCACTGTTGGACCCGCTGCCGACGCGGCTCTTCACAAGCAGGAGGCAAGCATAACAGAAGCCAGCGTAATGCATGAGGTTCTGGTATGTGGCGTCGTTGAGCTTCTCGTATGGCACTGCAGTCAGCCCCTTGGCGATCATGCTGTCTGTCACCGCCTGCTTGCCGCCTCGGCACGATGTGAAACCACGCGTCAGCTCGCCGTTTGGGCCTCGTTGCCAGCCCGAACGGCGAACATAAATCGGGCGTAGCGCCGCGTGCATTGGAATTCCAACACTTCGTCCTCGTATTACTTGTATTCCTCCCCGTCATCTTCCCCATCCTGATCGTCATCGTCTTCCTCCTCCTCCTCCTCCTCCTCGTTCGCCTCATCCTCATCGTCTTTCTGGTCTCATTCCCGATCCAGCTCGGCTTCCTATCGATTGCGCCATGATCGAACGGACAATAATTCTTATCGGTTGCGCCGTAGCTTGCGTCCTCGGCAGTTGAGAATAAGACCGTATCCGATCGGTTGCGCCATAGGTTGTGCTGCGCTTGGCGGCCAACAATAAAACCGTCACCTATCGGTTGCGCCAAAGGTTGCGCGTTCGGCAGCAAACATAACACCATGTGTTATCGGTTGCGCCATATCGGTTGAGCCCTTGGCGACCGAGAATAAGACAGTCGCGCAACGGGTGCAACCAGTCAGTTCAGTTCAGCTCAGTGCAATCAGATTGCCTGGCGAGAAGCACACTCGGGCCACGCCCGAAACAAAAAGTAAGGTTCGATCGATGTGGGGTCGTACCATTTACGCCACCAGCGACGCCAATCCACACTGAGAACTGGACAGGCGGTGGTCCCCAGGAACCTCGACAACCGCCCCCGCCGTTTTTTGTCGGGGTCAGGGCCTGGGGCGAGATGGGAGATAGAAGTGGAGGAAGGAGATAGGAGGGAGAAAAGGAGGAAGGGTGGCGAGGGTTGGAGCAGCCGGAGGCCACGCCACACATTGCAGTTTGCAGTGGATAGGGGCACAACGAGGAGATGGGGAGAGAGCTAGGAGGATGAGGACGAGTAAGGGGGGAGAGCAGGATCTTATCACACATCCTAGGTTGCTAATTGGTGGGTCCCCAACCATCCGTGATCAGTGTGTTTTTAAGGCAGTGGCTGAAGAATTCTGTCCAATCCACGCTTTCCGAAATGTCGAAGTACGGGCACATCGCAATCTTCGCCACGAGAGCCATGATCATGACGGGGGCCCCAGCCATCTTCATCAGCTGCAGCAGACGACGTTGTGTGTGGCGGCGGTTGGCTGCGCCATTGCGTCCAGAAGAGAACGGCTTGAAATTGCGGTGCACGGCCAACTTCGTCTTCTCCGAGCGAGTTTTTGCCCGGGGCGAAGCACTGCTTTTCACCATTGCTGGCACAGGCTCGAAAGCATGAGCGAGGAAGATGGGGTTCCGTTCCCAGAGAGCTTGCGCAGCCCAGCTATACATGAGGGGGAGACTTGCGGGAGGAAGCGGGCGTCATTCTTTGGCCCATTCCCGATCTTAAACCCATGGGCCCTACGAGCCCCATGAGCCCTATGAGCCCCATGAGCCCTGAAAGCCTCATGAGAGCCCTATGGGCCCTACGAGCCCCATGACTATGCGAGCCATCTCGGCCCTATGAGCTCTGTGAGCCCCGTGAGTCCTATCCCTTGAGCCCCATGAGCCATATGAGCCCTATGAGCCCCATGGGCCCTATGAGCCATATGAGCCCTCCAAGCCCAAACGGGCCCTATGAGCCCGATTGGCCCTATGGGCCCCATAAGCCTCATGAGCCTTATGAGTCCTATAGGAGCCCGTGCCTGAGCCCTATGAGCAAGCCCTGAGAGCCCTATGATCCTTACGAGCCCTTGTGTGCCCTATGAACCCATCGATCTATATGAGCCTTCTGAACGCCCCCAGAGCCACGTGACCTTTATTTAGTCCTATGAGCTCTATGAGCCCTACGGGCCATATGAGCACCGCGAGCCCTGTGAGCCCTCTCGGCACTATGAGTCCTATAAGCCCCAGGAGCCCAAGAGCCTCATTACCCTTGCGAGCCCTATGAGACTTGAGCCCTCTCGGCCTTGTGACCCCTTATAGATGTGGCTTACGAGCTTATGCTCCCGATGGTATAGCCCTATGAACCCTGCGAGACGCATGAGCCCCATGAGCCCGATAAGCCTTCACAGGAGCCCTATGAGCCCGCTTTTCGCCCTACGAGCCCTATGGGCCCTTTAAGCCCCACATGAGCCATATGAGCCCTATGTGGGCCCTATGGGCCCTACAGGGCTCTATGAGCCCTCCGAACCTCGCGAACCTCATGAGCCCTCTGAGCTCTTTGAGCCTTCAACGCGAAGCACAGCGAGCTTCAAGTCTTGTGTGCGCATCTCTCTCTGTATCTATATATATATATATGTATATCTGCGTGTGTGTCCAACATGCGCTAGTTGTTCACGCCAAGAGGGCCTGGCCACGACACTGCCCAGAGGGCTTGACCGATCGGGGCGCCAAGGGATGCGCGCAAGTCAGCCCTCAGAGAACGCTTACGCATGTGTGGATGCTTGCATTCATGTTTGTATATGCGCATGGTTGGCTATATATATATATATATATATGTGTATACGATGGTATACCATAAGTGTTTGTACATGTATACCGACATACCTTGATGCACGTACCTACCTTCCTGAATACATGCATCTATGTATGTCCATGCGTATACATATACACACCTATCTACACATTCAATGTATAGTTGTATATCGGTATGTGTATATAGCTCTGCTCGTGCACCGGGCGGCGGGGCTGGGCGGCGCACGTCTTGCAGCCCCGTTCAAGGTGATGGGCGGCATCGCTGCCTGGCGTCGCGGGCGCCGTCGCCGCGCCCTCGCCCGAGCCGCTATGCAAGGGGTTCGGCGGCCCCCTCCTTTGTGGCCGAGGGGGGGGGGGCGGAGGCAGGGGAACGAGGGAGGAGGAGGAGAGGGAGGAAGGGGAGCGAGGGCGGAGGAGGCGGAGGAGGAAAGGTAACGAGGAAGGAGGGGGAGGAGGTGAAGGAAGGAAAAGGGGGAGGAAGGCGTAGGGCGAGAACAAGCGCTCAATACGCAATGAGCGTTCACATAACCACCTATCTCACAGATGTTCTCAGTGAACATTCGAACGACCGTAGATCTCGCATATTTGTTTTGCCGATGTTCTCAATGAACAATGATCGCTGACATGGACGCCTATCTCACGCATTTTTCTCAATGAGCACTCGAGTGGCCGCCGATCTCACATATGACGTCCACGCAAGTTTTCAAATAACAACGAACACTCATGCAGATGACCGCCAATCTCGCAGCACGGCCACCTATCTCGCACATGTGTCTCATGACACCTCGAGCCTCTCTGGGCCGTCAGCGAGTGTTCAAATGACCACATATCCCATCGTCTGTCTAATCCGCCCTCCTCCACCTCTATGCCCTATGAAGTCCGACGGCTGTGTCTAGAAGGAAGAGCGATGGCAAGCGCGGGGAGGGACTGGGCAGCGAGGACGGAGCGAGATGAAGCGGAGCGACGGATGAGGAGGGCGAGGAACAGGAGCAGGACATGCACAAAGGCAAGCCACGACAAAGGCAAGCCACGATATCATACAGTATCTGACACGAGATGCATCTGGCACGAGAGGGCGCTGCAGCGCAAGGCGGCCTTCAAGGCGTCTGTCCACCTCCTGACGCCGCCAGAAACTCGCAGCGATACTGCAACTGCTATATACTCCAGATTTCGCAATGAAAGGGAGGGGGTCTAGACCCTCCAAGACAAGCAATTTCAGACCTTCCCCGTGGGAGAACCCTCCAAAACATCGTCCCCAAACCCCCCAGGCCCTCCAAGATAGCCTGGAAGAGACCCCCCTCCGAAATGAGACCCCCCTCCCTTTATTACGAAATCTGGGGTACTCTCGGGCAGCCTCGCACACGCTCCTAATCCTTCCGCTCGAACTTGTACGCTTCTTTGAGTTTGGCCCGCGCGGGCCCCGCGCCGCCCGACGACTGCCAGGTGAAATTCCTCTGGCCCTCGTGCTGCTCATCATAAACATCCCCGCTGTCTTTCGCGAAGAAGCTCCTCGGAGAAAGGCAGGCGTGGCTTGATTTGGACCGCCCGGGTGATTTTTGTTTTTCTTATGGGCCCCCCCCCGCTCCTGTTCCTAATGATCACGTCGACCCTCTGGCCTCGAGTGCCGCAGATGGTGTACGAGTGCTTGCCGCGGCCGATCGCCCTCGGAAGCGCCTCATCGGGGATCCCGAGCTCCTCGCACTGGTAGTGCTTCACAGGGTCGACCACGGCCAACGCCGACGGCTGCTCGGACGTATCTGGTGTCTTGCGCTTGGGCGCAGGTTTGGTGTTGGCTTTGGCTTTAGCTATGCTTTTCCCCTTGTCGAAGCCGCCCTTATCCTTGCCCGTGCCCTTGTCCTTGCCCTTGCCCGTGTTGGGCTTCCCCTTGCCCTTGCCCTTGGCCCTGCCCCTCCGGAACGAGGCCTTGGGTTTGGTGATCCCCAGTTTGTGTCTCAGCGAGGCCTTTAACTTCTGGCCCTTGGGTTTCTTCTTCTTCAGGGCGTTCGGTTTCTGCATTCGGAGGTTCACTGGTTTCAGGTCTTCCATCATGTCCAGCACAGCGGCCAAGTGTTTCGGGGCACTCGCAGCCGGGAGCTCATCGATGACCTCTTGGAAAAGGGCGGCAGACACGCGGTCTCCTGGGCTGAATTTCACCAAGGAAGGCCGACGCAAGCAACGAGGATAATGACGGTGGCGGAGGCGGAAGAGCCTAGGAGGAGGAGGAGGAGGAGGAGGAGGAGGAGGAGGAGGACGAGGAGGAGGAGGAGGAGGAGGAGGAGGATGGGCAGGATGAAGAGGAAGGGGAGTCTGGAGAAGGAAGGGCGAATAAGGCGAGCGAGGTGGAGAAAGGGGGGAGGAGGGCAGGAGGGATACGGGTGAAGCACCAACAGCAGATGACAGACGGAGAAGGTGGAGGAGGAAGGCCCGCTCCGAGCAGCGCTCGAGCGTCTTCAGCCTTGTCTGCGCCCTCTTGGCCGAGAGCCTCTGGGATAACTTACGCCACGGCCCCCGCGTCAACAGGAGGAGCGCCGAACGACTCGCCCGTT